GGAAACGCTTTGGAAAAGAGGCAACTCAGAGTGTTAGGAATGTGCTGTTCCAAAGAGGGGGGTGCCGACTGCCCCTAGCGAAACGTGCAGGCGATGGGCTCATGCTGACTGTCCCAAGGCAGTTGTACATCACAGGTTCGTCTCCTCAGCGTTCTGCGGCTGGAGGATGCAACTTCACATTTTAGAGAAGCCGATTGTGGTGGTCTCTGGTTTTTTCAGTAAGGACAAATGTATTCTTAAATTTGAGGAACTGCATTGCGTGCTCTTCTTGGTTTAGTTCCTTTATCTTGTGGGCTCAACTTTCTCCCTGTGTGTTTGTGTGTGTGATAACTGAGATAAACAAAAGCGTGCTCAGCAGCAGTCTGCTTAGGGCCCTGAGGAGAAAACTCCACAGTCTGGTAGTAAAAGTGACTCCTGACGGCCTGTGATGACTCTGCTTCTCTTACCACTTCTTTTTTTTCTTGCAGAATTGTTGGTTGGACCACTTAATTATTGATTTTTTCAGATAGATGAATAAAAAAGTGGTTTCATCTGATTATCAAAAGCAGTTCTGTGTAAGCACTCGTTTGTCATCAGCCTTTATGCCATGGTTGCAGCATTTATGACTAAGGAATTCCCCCCTTCCATTGGTAGAAGCACAGAAACTTCTTAAGACTTATGTTGATCCTGGTTAAGAATGAAAACTTTTAAAAAGTGGTTTAATGGAAATAAGTTTCTGAACAGTGGGAGGTCTCTATGAGTCTAACACTGAAACCTGGACTGATTGGAACCAGCTCAGGCAGCTTTTGCACCAGCAGCATGGAAACCAGACTGGAACAGTAGAGGCAGTTAATGCCTTGATGTGACATGTCCTTACCTATGCAGAAAGCCTTTCCTGAGGCAGAGAGATGCAATAATTGCACTTTGGCCTTTGTATCTTTTTCAGTGGTGGAGCATTAACTTGACCTTACAACAGCATAATGGCTCAGTTTCTGCCAGGTGACTCCCACACCGCTGTGTGTAATAACAGTAATCTAGCCAATGCTCAGCACTGTTTCTCCCATGTAAAAAGGCACTTTTTTTTTTCTTCTTTTTTTTTTTTCTTTTTTTTTTTTAAGGAGCTGATTTTCTAAATTGCACTGATGTTGCTTTTTGAGATCTCTGCCAACTCTAACCGACTGATCATTTGGCTCACTGAATATAATTATTTTAAATGAAGCCTAAAGGCCAAGTACACCTGTCCTGGGATGCCTCAGGC